AATTGGGGAAACAGGACCGGGGAAAGCACACTGACAAACGTCAATGACCGATCTGGGGTACACTGACTGAGACACGGACTAAAAGCACAAGACAAGGCAAACGAAATAGGCAACAGGTGAGAACAAGCAGGGATGAACACGAGGTAATGAGGTGGGCGTGGCACACATTAGGAGCGGACGGAGCGGGGCGTGACAAAAATCCTTAGTCGAAAACAGCCCTAATACATAGTAATGTTTTGAAGTCAAACTAAGCTGTTCCTTTTGAATTTAATGGTTATCCGTTTGAGGAATTTGCAAAAAACTGCAGTGCATGATGGGTAGGATGCCTAACGTCCTCATCCGTCTGACGACATACATCAAGACTAGGAAGGTGCATGCCTGGTTGCGTTTGTTGGTCCAGAAAGTAATTCAGTTTCGCCATGTAGGCTACGTTCTTAAAAACTGCTTTTTCTTGGATATAGCCCGATTATATGCCGTGGGCCTTTGTTTGCAATTTCGCCAGGTAGGCTACCGTCTTTAAACTGCGTTTTGTTAGACTACAAATTTCGAGATGTTTTATTGTAGTCTTTGTATGTGTGTGTGTGTGTGTGTGTGTGTGTGTGTATATATGTATGTATATGTATATGTGTATATATATGTATATGTGTATGTATGTATGTATTTTATATATATATAAAAATGTTTAGCCTAACCCAGCCACTTAAGGGAGCAAGCCAGCTCAACTAGGTGCCGGTGTTCTGTCGATATATGCTGCCTTGTCGAAAAATGCTACCGTAGTGCTAATCGATAGCCCTAACCCTAACTCTTACCCTAACCCTAACCCTAACCACCCAAAACCCCTAAAACCCTTACCTTAACCCTAACCCTAACCCCTAAAACCTAACCATAATCCCAAAACGGTGGAACTGCACATGCGCAGAAAGGCTCGATAGCACGTCTCGATAGGTAGGATTTTATGACAGAACACCTGTCCCAAGCCCGGATTAATGGGGAGGGTTGGCGTCAAGAAATAGAGACTATCTTAACTGCATCACTGATGTCAAAATGTGGGAAATATGTGGTTGTATAAATAAATGCATTAAAGTAGGTTAATGATTCTGTGCTGTCTAAATTGTATAAAAAGTTAGGCTACATGACGTTTGAATGGGCTATACCCGGATACATGGACGCATTAGGCCACTTAAAATTAATAAATTGTTTTACATGACTCAAACTTCTAAAATATTGGTGAGTCGGGGATTTTATATTTTATATTTTATATTTTTAGCGAAAAGACGATCGGCAACAGAGATATACTAAAACTAGAAAATTAAACTTTAATTTGTCAGTATCTCAACATTTTAAGCTCTCAACAGTTCAAACAATTACAAGAAGAGAGAAACCTTCAAAACAAATGCCTAGTCTAAGTGTTTAATGGTCTTGCCACAGAATAGCCCAATAAAAGCGTCCTCCTGACAATAGCAAAACAACTGCACTTCCATTGTTTCAAACAATAGAAGTGCTGTTGTTTGACCTCAATGAGGGTCACTATTATTGGACCACCCTACAAGAGACTACTTGCTCACAGTGCACAGGATATCAGGATTTGGCACATTGACGATCTCTGACAGTTTTTGTCAGTTTTATATAAAATATAAAAAAAAATCGAGGCGGCACCAAAAAATTGAGGCGGGCGGCCATGTAAAACAATTTATTAATTTTAAGTGGCCTTATGAGAATGAGAAAGACGGTGCGTGTACACTAATTAACCTATACCCTATTGACTTAGACAATACACTGTAATTTTTGCAACAGAAATGGATGAGATGGGCAGGCAGCTGGAGGTGGAATTTTTGTCCTTGGTAAAACTCTGACGGTCTCCACACTGGTAACAACGTTGTTTTCTAGGCATAGAAAAACAAATCTCCTCCTGTCTGAAAAGGCGTAGAAAACGCAATTTAGCCACTAAAACTTTACAGTTTTGTGAGGGACAGTCGAAGTCTCTCGTTAAGTTTTTTGTGTTCTTGCACCCCCACTTTAAAACTCGTTTCAGCGCCGCCGCATATACGTGTGCGTGTATGTGCGTATGTGCGTGTATGTGTGCGTATGTGCGTGTATGTGGCCCGATTGGTGTTTTGCCCTCAGGCCTTGCATGCAGTTGTTCCACCGCTGTCTTCCACCATAACCGAAACGGTGACGTACATTGGTTTTTGTTGCTATACTGCGGTTAATATTTAGTTTTTTCTAGTATTACCACACTCTGCTAGGCCGATGGTGAGTCAATGCAACGTAATTTTGCTCTGATGTGCACTAACCGGTGTATGTTCTGAATGGCAATAAAGTCGATATTATCTTCTATTCTATTCTATTTTATTCTATTTATCATATATGTAAAAAAAAGTTTCTTTTGTGCATGTCCCATACCCTACTGTAAAACACATCAGAAAATTGACATATAACATGATAATTTAAGAAAGCCTTGGTGTGCTTCCTTGTGCATGCGTACACACACACACACACACACACACACACTGGAACTCCAGTCAGTCATCGCCGCTAATTCTGTGAGAAACACTGGGTATAAATTAAGAGTGCCCCCCCCCCCACCAACCCGCTGCTGCAGCCTGTTACATTTTATTGGCTAAGTAATGTTGCGAAACTTGTTTTTCAATTCACAATTAAATTAACACTATAACACATGTAAATCACAAAATTATTATTCTATTTAAAGTTAGGGCAAGCTGTATATTTTGTAATTATTACATTTTACTAGGACTGAAACGTGAACTGTTACTGTGTTGCATGTATTTTTGTAGTTTCAAATTACTTCTATTTAATTAAATAATTTTTTTGCACCAGTATTTTGATTTTGTTACATTTGGTGAGCAAGTAGTTGTAACAAGATTTTTTGATGTATTCTTTCTCTGGCCATTGATGATGGTGGTGATGATGAAAGTGACCCTGCTTCAGAATAACCCATCAGTTAAAACTGTGTAACAGTTGTGTTATAATGTGTATAAATGACTTCATAAAATACATACATTGCTGTTAATACAAATGCACTCGTTACCCTGATTATCTTGTGCACCCAAGATAATTATATTGTTCACACAAGGTAATAACATAACATATTTAAATATCTTGTGCAAACAAGGTAATCAGGGTATTGAGTACACTGGAAATGACTGTCATTGTTCACTTATGTTTAGCCCGGGAATACCTTAAATCCAACAAGTTATCCAGCTAAATAAAAAATCCTGCTTTGTGATACAGGCCCCTGTATATGCTCAATGACCTTTCAACTGTCTATCATTTGTCTCTCACTGCACCATTTGCATACTGTCTACCACTGTATTCTGCATATAGTGCTATTCTGTACACTGTCTTTGTATAATTTATCTTCTGGTTATACTTTTTAAAATCCTACCCCCCCCCCCCATCCATTTAATTTATCTATAATCTCATTTGTGTACAGTGGCAGGAGTAAGCCAGACTTTCATTTCACTGCAAGTTGTACCAGTTTTTTTGTGCATGTGACAAGGTCTTTGAATATTGTCATGACATGTACTGGTGCAGAGAGCAGGAATCCCAGGAGACAGGATACAAGGGCAAATGTTGAAGTTTAATCAAGTAACCAAAACAAGACCAAAGCACGGGGCACATACCTTAACAGAAAACAGAAAACAAAGCTCATGCAGATCAAAGGGTGGAGCAGATTGGGCCTCAAGAGCAATGAGGATGTTTTCATTCCAATCCACACTGCTTTCAACCTGCCACATTCATTATTAGCCAGAGGACCATCCAGGCCCGATTTAGGTAGGGTTGGAATGAAAACATTCTGGCAGGGGGGGGGAACCAGGAACAGGATTGAGAACCACTGCCCTTGACAGTGTGCACACTCACAGACTCTGAGGCTTTTTCCTGCCAGTTCCATGAGGTCTTAGGGCTGTCCCACTGTTAAATTGTCAAGTGTATGAAGGCTCTCACAGATATTTTGAGCCCTTTATGCACATGTTCTATAAGAATTTGCCTTTTTGATGTATTTGTGCCCATCTCTAGCCTCTGATGGGGGTGCACATGTTGTACACTTCTTAAGTTCGTCTAATCCTTTATTGCCAAAGCTGCAATCGAGTCAGCACTTAGCGTGGATGCCCGCGTCCGAACACGGGTGCGTTCAGTGTAAGCCGAATGCTACGCGCTATCGGAGTCCTGCTATTCACCGATTGCCACCTAGTGGTGGGAGTAAAGTATGTGCACTAAAAGTTACAGTAGTCAGTAGATTAAAACACTCAAAATTCAATGAAAGAGGTGATCATCACTTTTATATGTTCAAGTGCATAGTGTGGAGGATATCATAAGGCCTTGGGGCAATCAGATGTAAAACACAATATTTATGAGTGTTTTAAGTTGTAAATCGGTCAGATTTTACCCGAACACGACAGAAAGGTTAAGTAAATTAACTTGCGTAGCCTAACATGACAAATAAAATATTTTGAAGGAGCTGAGATGCCCGTTTCTCACCCAGATCCCTACACACAAACATACAGAATTGCAATTTTACCAAAATTCTTCAGTTTTCTGTGGTAGCCTATCTATGTTTTCAGCCTCTAACAGAAAAAAAGGAATGCAAATAAAAATTTAAAACATAGAGTGACTGAGTGTTGTTTAAAGTTTGGCTTTTGTGGAGGTTAAGGGGTGGTTATAAAAAGGAGAAGGAGGTTTGGGTAGCATTAAGGAAACAGCAGAGATACGCAGATACAGATGCGAGGGCAAAACGCAGCAGTGCCCCCCTCCCCCTCACTAAAGGTCATTATAATAACTCCACCCCGTTTTTTGGCGTGAGGCTAAACCACTTTTTCCTCATTTCAACAGCAGCGGATGATATATAAATAGAACATCAGTAAGGCGTTTATAACTGAAACTTAGAAGTAAAATAGCTGGATGGTTAACTGCTTGTCAGCTGATATTTCTTTACCTGCAAAATATAATCGGACAATATGAAACGGACACGTTTATATGTTTATGTAGTAGTCTGTAGCCCAGAAGTAGAAGACGCGTCTGATATTTGCTAAGCAAAAAGCACGAGAAAAACTTGAGGTGTGGATAGGATGAGCCACAAGAATGACAAAGGCAAGAATCATACATTTGTGTTTGGGTGAGTCAAGGCACTGCTATTACTGGTAGATGTTCAGGAAAATGTATATAGGCTTATGTCAGTGACTTTTTCTTTCTCCAGGTTTATCTGTTTGTTGTTCGACCATCCAAAGTTTGAATGTGACACTAGTTAATCCTGGGGAGAACATTAGCATCGGCTGTGGCAATGATACGGAACAAGTTTATTGGTACCTGCAGCGCTCAGGACGTCCACCGGCGCCGATACTGCGCTCATTCGGCAGTGCTGCACCTAGTCCGTATTACTATGATACTGGATCGCAGAGCAAGTATGACTTACAAGCCGGCAACAAACTGTTTATACATAATTTTACAACAGAAGATTGTGCAACATATTACTGTGCGGAGCTTCGCGATGGTGTCTTCAGATTCTTTAACGGAACCAGACTGAATGTCACAGGTAAGATTTTTCTACTTTATACCGTAATTAGTTCTTTGGCGATACTGTATTCTGAATAAAATAAATAGGTCTAGTCTCAAAGGTTCAAATAACAGTGTTTTGTTACTGATGTTCTTATGATGTTTTCATTAAATTAATTAAATTTTATGAAACCAGCGTGGAACTAAACAGAAATCTATAATTAAATCTGCAATTTGCTTAATAGTTGTTTTTTCCAGACATGGTCACTGGACATCAAAATGTTACTCCTGACACCCAAGTGGAGCAGCGATGTGGAATTTTTCGTAATTCAGTGATTATTGCTGCCGTCGTTTTAAATTTCACGTTGATCGTTATAATCCTAGGTAGGCTTAGGCCAGAGGTAAACGACGTTATAGTAATATCTCTAAAAGCAACATTTACATACATTTTCCAGGAATCTTTAACATTTAACAAGATAAAAATATTTCACAGATATAAACGAACTTATAAATAGACTATGGAAGTAAATCAGACCACAAAACTGGCCAGGAGAAGCGATTGAAAGATGGATGGACGATGACTAAAGAAACCGCGTCTATTTATTTCAGTTTTGACAAAGAAACTCTGCACTGCTCTTAACGGCAAACTTTTCCAGAAAGTGGAAGCACGTGAGGAAGATACAACGGTATTCAAATTTTATTTTCTAAGCTTAAAGCAGAATATTACAGTGATAATAAACACTTTAAGTCAGATTTTCAGGTTAACAGATATATTAATATGATTGAACACTTCATATATGCATTTAAAGTATTTTCTATATTTATAAGTAAGTTAAAAGTCCTTTTAAAATGTCATTGACTTTTCATGTGTAATCCACTTATTTAGTAATTGCTGCAGTCTGTTATGGTCAGTAATTAAATTCCTTATAGTAGCTCTTGTTTTACAGTACTGTGTAATGCAGGTTTTCAAAGAACAGAATGCATCAAGCCGTGAAATAACTGCATATGGCGAAGTTCGTCGTCCAAGCGCGTGAGCTGGCCTGCACTGCTTTAAAAGCCTTCTTTGGGCTATTTCTATCACTTTGTACAAATTATAACTGAGAATGCAAAACAAATTCCCAGTGAAAATGCATATTTAACAAATAAAGATAAGTTTAGCAGTCTGTTGGATTTCATTTCACGAACTAGAGTACTTGAAGTCAAACACAGGAACAGCAGTTTCACTAACCAACAATATTTTATTTTGGTCTGAGCTCATGTGGTGACTCAGGAACGTTCCGTGGCCAGTGTCTCTTTACTCTGGCTTTATTTATTTAAGTTCTTTCCTTCCATTTTCCTGTTTGTATCAGTCTCTCAAATGATGTTCAATGTATCACAACACATCCATGTAAAGTGCATTGGGACGACTCTGTTGTGAAAGGCGCTATATAAAATTGAATTGAATTGTGCAGGAGCTATTCAGTGTTTGGCAGATACTACCTGGTCATCTATACCACCCTTGAGAAAGTCAGTCCCTACAGTCCCTCTGCTCCATCTTCATTCTCCAGTCGCACTGTCCTCCTTGTGACACCATCTTCGTAGAGTCCAGCGCAGCCCTTCTGCATAAATACGGAGTGGGACTATCAACCCACATTTTGTTTTTGTGCCCTGGATTCTGTTGTAAATAACCTTGCTCATTATGTTTTCTTGTATCTCTGTTTGGACCCTTGTTTTGCACCTTCGTTATCCCTGATCCAGTTTTGTAGTACGTTCTGTTCCCACATTCTAGTATCTCCTTGTGCTTGTCCCCTTATTATTTGTTTATTACCCTCACCTGTTCATCATTGCCCCTACTCTCTTGTGTTTGTGGTTGGTTAGTAATAGCCCGCACTTGTCCCTTGTTTAAGCCCTCATTACCTCTGTATTTAAGTGTCTGCCCTTCCCCTATGCATCTGTCAGTCATTGTGTTTTGTTCCTGTGTGGTCTTTGTTGAGCTTTTATGTGTTGCATTGCAGTTTTTCTGAATGTGTATGTTTCCCTTGAGTTCTTGTTTTCTTTACTGCCGTTGTTTTGACCCTTCATGGTTTACTTTTGTCTGTGAGTTCATTTTAAAATAAACTCTCCTTTCAGCATAAGCCGCAGTGTGGATCGTCCACCTATCATGCCCCGTCACCATAAAAATATTTCTGTTTTTGTGTTCCGGTACGGTGGAACAGAAATGTCAGCGAGCATTTACACCAAACTTCTCGTTCCTGTTTCATTAGCATGTTACAATCTAAAAAGGCAGTTTCAGGGTTTGGGTAATAAAAGATATACGACAACAGCACAAAATGCATGTTTTGTGTAGATCCCTGCAAGAGTGCTGGAAAGAGTGATACGGAATGCTGTGGATCCGTGTTTTCTTCATTCCCTGTTATTTTATTTTCACTCTTCTGTCTTAATGGTTTATAATCTTGCCTTTTGAACTGTTGATGAATCACACAGATAGATTTGAAATAAAGAAAAATAAAGCAGTGTGGTTCATTTCATGAAAACCGCAGCACATTGCATCTAGTCAAAAGTCGATGAGATCTTTTGTTCTGAAGAAAGGTTGCGGGGGGGGAGGTATTTCCTGCCCACTGTTTGTACTGTGAACGTGCAACAATGATGTCACCTTTTCTGTGCAGAAGCGGATCTCTTTTTGGCAGATATCAGCTTATATGTACTGAGTATCTGCCGCTTTCAGTGTGTGTCACTTCTGTCATTGCTGTCCTTTTTGGTGGCCCTGCTGTCCCTGTGGAGTGCGACTCTCTCCTTTACATCACACACACACACACTGTGTGTGGTACGGATGGGCGATACTGACATTGTATAATACTGATACAGGTACTTTATATACCAAAATGTTTCTTTGGCATGAAAATTTACTTTGAGAGTACACAGTAGTTACCTCCTGAATTTCTATTTACATTGAAAGGGAGAATTTATTTTTATTCAAATCACCTGATACCAGAATCTGGTCAAAATTGAACTTATGTGTAAAAATATGTTTCAGTACATATCAAACAAATACAAAGAACATTTCAGAACCTTTTTAAACTGCTGTTATTCTGATCTTTTTGAGGTCTTTTTTTTAGGAAGAAAAGCATGTCAGGCTTCAGTTGACTTTGTCTCTAAGTAGCTGTAGTGTTGCGTGAAAGTTAGTGAACCCTTCAGAGTTTTCCATCCATCCATTTTCCAAACCACTTATCCTTCTGGGTCACAGGGGGTCCAGAGCCCATCCCAGAAGCTACAGGCACAAGGTGGATAACAACCCAGGACAGGGCACACTCACACACCATTCACTCACACTCACACACCATTCACTCACACCTATGGGCAATTCAGCAACTCCAATTAACCGCAGCATGGACTTTGGACTGTGGGGGGAAACCCTATGACAACATAGGGAGAACATGCAAACTCCACACACATGTAACCCAGGTGGGGGCTTGAACCCTGGTCCCAAAAGTGTGAAGTAGCAGTGCTAACCACTGCACCACCATACCACCCCAGAAGTTTCCATACTCCTGCTGAAATATGACTTAAATCATCATCAGATCTTCACACAAGTCCTAAAAGTACTCTCAAAAAAGGGTCAACATTTCAACCTTTGCTTGTCACTGGGGCTGTACCCTCGATGGTCTGCCAATTGTACACTGTAGGTAATTATACCTTTTAAGGTACAGAAATGGTCTCTGAGGAACATTTCTGTACCATTGATGGTACATTAATGCTGTTTGTATCCTTTGGGATCTTCCTCAAGTCCATTTCTGTACCTTAAAAGGTACAATTGCAAGGGTACAGCCCCATTGACAAGTAAAGGTACAAAGTTTTACCTTTTTTTCTGAGAGTGTCAGTGAAGAGAACACAACTGAACAAATGAGACAAAATATCATACTTCGTCATTTATTTATTGAGGAAAATAATCCAACGTCACATATCTGTGAGTAGCAGTAATATGTGAATGTAGCAGGTAATTTGAAGGTGAGATTAGAGGCAGGTGTTGTTAATGTCATGGTTGTCAATCAATGTGATAACAATCAAGTGTGAATGGGTACATTGTTTATATTAAATGAACAGGGTTCCATCAAGGGCTTCATCTTCAAACATGTTTGTGCTGTATCAGTGTATAATGCCATGACGAATGCCGCAGGACAATGACCCCAAGCACCCAAGTCATTCTACCAAAGACTGGTTGAAGAAGAATAAAATAAAGGTTTTGGAATGGCCAAGTCAAAGTTCTGACCTTAACCCAGATATTGTCGAATATACTGTATATATAGATATATGTCCAATACTGTAGAAGGAACTGATGCGTGCAGTTCATTTGAGAAAATCCAAGCTGATGTACAGGACTGATGAAGATTTACCGGAAATGTTTGTTTGCAGTTATTCATGCAAAAGGGGGTCACACCAAATATTAAAAACAAAGGTTTGCATACTTTTGCCAGTCTCTGATTTGTGACATTGGATCATTTTCCTCAGTAAACGAATGACCAAGTATGATATTTCTGCCTCAATTATGTTTTGTTCGCCTACTTAGAATTAGAATTTTTTTAGAATTTAGTGATCAGATGTCACTGCTGACACGCCACAGCACAAAACAACAAAGTGTGTCCTCTGCATTTAACTCATGTGCGACATAGCAGGGGGCAGCTATCTCAGCGCCCGGGGAGCAGTGCTTGGGGGCGGTACCTTGCTCAGGGTACCTTAGGGGTGCCTTGTTGGGAGCGGCTGTGGGAGCGGCAGGAGCATAAGTGGCTACGCGGCAAGCTGACCAGCTGGGTGCAGGAGCGCAACCGTGACGTGTCGGGCCGAGGGAGCAGAGGCGGCGTTACGTGGCTGCGAGGCCAGGAGGAGGTGTGTCGCATCCTGGAGACCCAGCAGGTGTTGGAGGAGGAGCCTGGCGCACATCACCATGGCCCCACCAAGCAGGGGAGGAAGAAGGGCCGAGGCCAGGAAGGACCCACACTGCCGGTGGCCCCCAGCTGCTCTATATGCTGGCAGTCCCCAGAGAAGGGGGCCTGGCTGTGGGAGTCACTGGGAGAGGTGTTTCCTGGCCAGGAGGACCTTCTGGATGGGGTACCAGGACCCCTAAGGTGTAAAAGGTGAAGGGTTGGTGCCCAGGGGGATCTGTCGCGCCAGCTAGCGGCTAAGCCCTGCCGGCACTCGCAAAAATTGAGAGCTGATGGCCCTCTGTCATTGGAGGTGACACCAGCGGCTGCCATTGGGAATAAAATGAAATGAGTTGGAGATTCGACCACTGGGGGGCAGTGAAATCATTTGCAATCTGCTTGTTAGTCCTACCGACATGTTTTATTAGATTACTAATGTTTATTTAAGTCAATGGTGATATTTTTTATCAGTTACAGTCACATATTTGGCGTATCAGAATTGTGTCACGGACGTGTTTTATTAGATTATATGGATATTTATCTCGATAACGACGTGAAATGTTAACATGTTAAAAATGATGAAATTATTGTGTCATTCTTTGGGGATGGATACATAGGTTAATTTTGGGGATCAGGACACATTAGGCTTTACGCTACAAAACATATGTGGTCAAATGAATCCAGACCACCTCAGCAAGTGGTTAGCGTGGTCGGATGCGTCTTGAAGGTCGTTTACACTTGTATTTAGCTGTAAATACAAGGGTAAACGGGACTGATGGGAGTCTGTCACTATGACCGACACGTCATAGATCACTTCCGTGTTTGCAAACAAACATGACGTGGTGGCAAAGAGACAGATCAGAAGTAGCGCTATTTAGGTATACGAGCGCCAAAATCATATATGAATAATCCGGACGACTTCTCCAGTTATTTAATTGCTTTACCAGAAAAAGATAATTTATCTTACATTAATAAATTAACGCTTAGCAACGGGGTTAGGTTTCCTGATTCATTCCGATCAGATGGTCAAGGACCCAACTAAACGGCCCAAGTTACAGTCGATTTTTTTCGTCTATCTGGTCGAAAAATCAAGTGTTTACGCAAAAGAAAAACTGAAAGCATATAAAGCACATTGAATACAGAGATTTGTCCAAAGACTTTTGTGTACTATGGATCGACGTACTGCTTAGCCAGCGGCAAGGACATAAAACCCAACTACACAAAACGTGGGTTATTATTAACAATTTGACCATCCTACTGTATACTGACGGAAAACTTCACCTGCATGCTGGGTGAGTATCCATCCATCCATCCATTATCTACTGCTTTTCCGGGTCGGGTCGTGGGGGCAGCAGTCTCAGCAGGGAAACTCAGACTTCCCTCTCCCCGGCCACTTCATCCAGCTCCCCTGTGGCGTTCCCAGGCCAGCCGGGAGACATAGTCTCTCCAGCGTGTCCTGGGTCTTCCCCGGGGCCTCCTCCCAGTGGGACATGCCCGGAACACCTCACCAGGGAGGCGTCCAGGAGGCATCCTGACCAGATGCCCGATGGGTGAGTATACATTCATGTATACATTTTTCCATTCATCACTACAACTACTACTGCTGTTGCTATAATTTCCAGAAAGATAGATCGATGGATAGATGGATGGATGGATGGATGATGGATGGATAGAGAGAAAGAGAGAGACTTTATTGATCCCCAAAGAAATACTGTTGGTATACAGTAGGAGCAGTAAGAACAAACATTTAATGGAGAATAAACATTACAATTAGTTATATAATAAGGATACATAAAAATATAAAAAAAGTCAGTGTAAAAATGTTGCTTTTATTTATATGAAATATTACATTGCACTGTATAAGACATAGATAATGTAATCATTAACACTCTATTAAAAAGATCCAGAAGCTGATGTAAGCCTTGTAACCTTTAGAAAAAACAGATCAATTGTTGATGCAGAATGTGATTACAAATAAGTATGAATAAGCACTTTGTGTTACCTTAGAAATTTCTGTATCTGTTAGTAATCTTGTGCTAGTCTTCGTTGTATGAATATGCCCTTTAATTAGCACAGCTTGTCACTGGGTTGAAATACAACATTGTATTTGTATTTATTTGTATTTCAAATAAACATCAAAATTGTGCATAAAAAATTTCTAGAAGACCATCTGCTTACTGGCGCCCTCTGCTGGTCACTGGTGGTTCCCTCTACAGCAGTGCTTCTGAACCTTCTCTGCACCGCGACCCTGCAAGCTCAGTCACAACCCTATATCAAGTATAGGTTTAAACAAACTCTATGATCAAGCATGCAGTGCACTTTGCGCCAATTAGTACCTATCACGCAAATCTGATTGGATGTGCCAGGTAATTTTAAATTAAGCATCTGTGGTTTGACTTCTTGGATTGGTTGAGTGTTCACTATAGTTTTGCACTAAGTATTTGCAGACCCAAGACCTGTTTATATAGGTTAATTCTAAGATTGCGGCTGGGAAATCTGATCGTGGATCTGCTCTGCGGCTTACTAGTTTTAAATTTGCTTACATTTCCAACTCTGCCTCTTGACCCTTTCAGAACTTGCTGCAACCCAAATATGAGTCGCGACCCGTGGGTGGAGAATTGCTACTCAGCCTGGCCTTAAAGAGGCAGTACAAAGATTTTCGAAGCGGAACCAAATGGGAACATTTACTAGATGAAGTAAGCAGACATGCTGAAGCTTTCTGAACTGGCCGTAAACAGCGTAAAGGCATCTTACTAAGAAAGGAAAAGAGAGTCACAGCAGTCAGTGCGAGAAAACAGAAACGTATGATTAAGCATCTCCATCATGGTTATAGCAGTTTGAGATACTTGTTTTGATGCAGTTCTTTACCGCCAAGGCTCAGTAAAATCAAGATTAGGGAGACTGGCTATTACTTTAAACTACTTAATTTAGCGGTACAGCAAGATAACACAGTACTGGGGTACTAGGCCTACTGGAACAGCTCGGTTACACACGTGACCAAGAACCAACTAATATCACATGCCTAACTCCACTCTGGTTACAACTGTGTTCTGTTTATTACATCTATGCACTTTGCACCTTTGCATAAGTGGTTTGCTGGTACCCTATAGGTAGACAGAATGACAGCTGGTACCCTATAGGTAGACAGAATGACAGCTGGTACCCTATAGGTAGACAGAATGACAGCTGGTACCCTATAGGTAGACAG